TATTATTGTTATCATTATTATTATCATTATGATGTAAACACCTATATATATTTTTTTTTTTACCGTCTGTCGTTCCCTCCCCAGACACGGAGGTCGACTCCTACGACGAGAACTGTACCTCCCAGTGTGATGTCGTGGAGCCCAGTCTGGGACAGGTCAGATTTCTCCTTTTCTCCTTTTCCTCGGATGCTAAACTACCTGTAGCGCCCCGCCCCCCTCCCCCTCACTCTCAGTTTAACATGAAACATTGTAGCACCTCTAATCTTCCGACACTTATATAACTATGCCCTTGTTGTGTTTGCAAGTGCCGCAAAACACGCAATGAAACATTAGACATTGAAACGCCTTGCAACCTCAGTGCTTTCTTGTCCTATCTCTATTTTTAATAACTGTGAAAAGGGTTAATAAGAAAGAGTGAGCTTAAGAAGAAGTCACATTTTCAATGTTTAAAAAAAATGGAGATAGGACAAGAAAGCACCGAGGTCGCGACCTCAAATCTTCCAACACTTATATAACAATGCCCTTATTGTGTTTGCAAGTGCCGTAAAACTTTCTTAACAAAACATTAAACATTGTAACACCTCGCAACCTCAGTGCTTTCTTAGAAGAAGAGAAGAAGTCACATTTTCACTGTTTAAAAAAAGTGGAGATAAGACAAGAAAACACCGAGGTCGCGACCTCTAATCCTCTGACACTTATATAACAATGCCCTTATTGTGTTTGAAAGTGCCGTAAAACTCTCTCAACGAAATATTAAACATTGTAACACCTCTAATCTCCCGACACTTATATATGCCCTTATTTTGTTGCAAGTGCCTTAAAACTAACTGAAACATTGAACATTGTAGCATCTTCCGACACTTATATAACAATGCCCCTATTGTGTTTGCAAGTGCCGTAAAACTCTCTCAACAAGACATTAAACATTGTAACACCTCGCAACCTCAGTGCCATCTTATAAGAAGTCATATTTTCACTGTTTAAAAAAGTGGAGATAGGACAAGAAAGCACTGAGGTCACGACCTCTAATCTTCCGACAAAACTTACAACTCCACAGATGCTGATGCAGCAGGCGGGCCTGAACCGCAGCGTCCATTCCTCGATCTCGGAGGACAGACACGACCTTGAGGCGGCGCTCAGCGGGACGTTCTGCCACGACTACTCCATCCAGGAGACGCTGGGCCAGGGGACCTTCGGCTTTGTCCGCAGAGCAAAATGTCTGGCAACCGGCGGAAACGTACGTTCTCTTCGTTCATTCAACACTTTTACAGCGTTGCCAATTTGCCGGCTAAAGCCAGAAAAACTGGCTTTTTAACATCCTCCGGCTTTTGCGGCTTTTCCGGCCAAGATAGAGGGGTGGAGCCGGGAAATTATTCCCTGCCCCCCCTCATTATATGACATTGTGTTGCAAGTGCCGTAAAACTCCTACAAAAACTACACTCTCCTGCAAGTGCAGTAAAACTCCTACAAAAACTACACTCTCCCCCTCATTTTATGACATTGTGTTGCAAGTGCAGTAAAACTCCTACAAAAACTACACTCTCCCCCTCATTTTATGACATTGTGTTGCAAGTGCAGTAAAACACTTACTAAAACTAAAGAGTGAGGAAACGGTTACAGTGCTGCGAGTTCTTCCTTCTCCCCCCTCATTTTATGACCTTATTGTGTTGCAAGTGCCATAAAACTCCTACTAAGTGGGTGGTTGGCGGGTGCTCTGGTGTAGTTTGCTTCTTCTTTCCTATCAAACATCTATCGTCCTTTTCTCCCCTCCTTCTTTTTATGACTTTTACTCTCTTGTAACACCTCTAATCTTGTGGTGCTCATATGACCTTATTGTGTTGCAAGTGCCGTAAAACTGCTACTCCCCCCCCCCGAAGTGTCTTTAGGCCATTCCCAAAGGGGGGACATTTCTCGTTCATGCACAGTAGAATTGTAAATGGGCTAATTCATCAATGTCATGCTCATAACTGTGCCTGATCTACAACAGGGAACTGCTGCTTTTTCTTTCCTAATCCTTACTATTGTCATTTTTCTTTTACTTCTTTTGTATGTTTGTCACTCTCTTGTGACCCTCTATTTCCGGGGTGCCTTGATAGTCGAAGCAGACTTTGTGCTGTTGAAGCTATAGAGGTGAGCAGAGTAAGTCTGATTCCCTGTAAGGACTTCTCTGTTGACATCCACCCCTTGGCGTTCATATGACCGTATGCAGTTGCAAGCGCCGTAAAACCTCTACTAAAACTGCTCCTAAAACTAAACTCTCCCCCTCATTATATGACCTTATTGTGTTGCAAGTGCCGTAAAACTCCTACTAACACTTAACTCTTCCCCTCAGGTGGTGGTGAAGTTTGTGAGGACTAAGAAAGTTCCGGAGAGCGGCTGGTGCCACATTGTTGGGAGACCGGAGCCCGTGCCACTGGAGGTGGAGATTTTGTCGAGGGTCGTGGGGAGGTCAAAGTTCATTATAGAGGTATGTGTTTGTGTGTTTATGTGTGTGTGTGTGTGCCGCTGGAGGTGGAGATTTTGTCGAGGGTCGTGGGGAGGTCAAAGTTCATTATAGAGGTATGTGTTTGTATGTGTGTGTGTGTGTGCTGTTGGAGGTGGAGATTTTGTCGAGGGTCATTGGGAGGTCAAAGTTCATCATAGAGGTATGTGTTTGTGTGTGTGTGTGTCGCTGGAGGTGGAGATTTTGTCGTGGGGAGGTCAAAGTTCATCATAGAGGTATGTGTTTATGTGTGTGTGTGTGTGTGTGTGTGTGCTGCTGGAGGTGGAGATTTTGTCGAGGGTCATTGGGAGGTCAAAGTTCATTATAGAGGTACCGTATTTGTACGTGTGTGTGGGTATAGTCTGTGTGTGTGGGTATAGTCTGTGTGTGTGGGTATAGTCTGTGTGTGTGTGTGTATGTGTGAGAGAGTTACAGTACAGTACAAGGCTGGTGGGGAGGTCGAAGTTCATCATAGAGGTACCATTGTGTGTGTCGTGTGTGTGTTTGTGTGTGTCACACAGTGTAAATTATTGATGGCCGTGAGTGACTTGTGTTTGGCTAAAAACAGCACTTAGGTATGGATGGATGGTGGATCTATAAATAGATTATTGACGGTTGTGGGTGACTTGTGTGTAGGTAAAACTACTTAGACATCGGTGAGGGTGCCTCTATAAATAGATTATTGATTGTTGTGGATGACGTGTGTGTATAAATAAATTATTGTGTTTGTGTATAAATAAATGATTGTGTGTGTGTGTATCAAGAAATTATTGTGTGTGTATATAAATAAATTATTGTGTGTGTGTATATAGAAATTATTGTGTGTGTGTATATAGAAATTATTGTGTGTGTGTATATAAATAAATTATTGTCTGTGTGTGGGTATGTATAAATAAATTTTTGTCTGTGTGTGGGTATGTATAAATAAATTATTGTGTGTATGTGTGAATAAATCATGTGTGTGTGCATAAATAATTTATTGCGTATGTGTGAATAAATCATTGTGTGCGTATAAATAAATTATTGTGTCTATATGTGTTTCTGTCCCCAGCTGCAGGACTTCCATGTGAGCAAAGGGTTCGTGTCCCTCGTCATGGAAGATTTTGGCTCCATGGACCTCTTTGACTTTGTCGACCGCGTACAGAGCATGGAGGAACCCCTGGCCAGGCACATTTTTGCCCAGGTGAGTACCGAGATATCAGGTGTGTGTGGGTGGGTGGGTG